GGTCACAGGTGCTGGCGAAATGTTAGGAAACAAAACTTCCAGAACATGGCCACACAGCCCGTAAGACCCACACCAGCCATCGTATGCCGGCCGCGAAAGCCTTCGACAATACATGGGATAGCATCTTTAATAACTGAAATAAATGTATAAATAAGCAACTTCAAAAACTGGCTTTGACTCTGAATGACTTGAGATCCCAAGTATTTGTCAGAACAGCTCTTCTGAAATGCATGCTCTGTAATTTTAGTTTATAAATGTAGTAACAAAATGATTAATAATCTTTAAAAAATCTCCATAGTTGTCAAAAAAAACCCCCACCCACTTACATTTAAATACTATAAAAATAAAGTTTTGCTCACACATGTAAGAATATATCTTTTAGTGTTTTCATCATATTCCCCTAAATATAGCACCATCTGAAAATCCAATTTTTGTGGATAGAAGTTGGTATGGATGGACTTAATCCATAAAGGTAACTTATAGTGTATAACATAAATTCATTTCATGAATGGAAAAAAAAAAGGAATACAAAAGTCATGAATATTATAGTGAAAATCATGATTTTTTATTTATTCAACATTAAGTTAACTCAGTTTATTGCATTAAGGTGACTTTGTTTTGTATATAATGGTATTTCTCCTGTAATGATTAATTAAAATAATCCTTTCAGGATGTGCCTTCAGTGTGCTAACCTGTACCTTGAAGAAGGCAGCCATCATTAATTTTCATTAAAGGGTCAATAATGCCAATATTCTGGAGCTAATTCAGTAGAAAATAAGGTCACATTTTGATTTTTGTTGTAAAGGAAGTAGGAGAAATCAATGGCAAGAGTAATGAAATGTTAACATTCCTCTAACTCCACAGACACCATCTGCAAAGACTACAGATACTATCAGTTGTTCCTAAAAGAAATCTGATTGAATATCCTACTGTAAGTAATGTTATACTGATTCAGTGCTTACTAACAGGATGCCTTTTTCTCTACTCTATCTTACACTTCAGTAACAGCTGTTAAAAGTAATGCATGTCAGCTCTAGTTCTAGCAGTGCTTCTGGTTGGGTATCTCACTCATCTGCAAAAGGAAATTCTAAGACTTTTCTCTAATGTGGAAACCCTTCCTTGGCAGACAAGAGCACTAAATCACAGATATTGGAAGCAAGAATAATAGGGACTGGTAACAACAACAACAACATATGTTTCCCTCTAAGTAATAGAATCTCTGAAAGTTTTGCACAGTAACTTCCATATTATTTTTCAAAATACATATTATTAAACACTAAGCCTATCTTTGAATTATGAATGCTGCATAGGATGGTGTTCTTCAAAAATTGAAGTCCCAACAGACAATATAATCTCACTGCTGGGGAAAAAAAAGACTTAGTGATTTTAAATACTTTTATGCTTTAAACTTTTGTATTCTACTTTGAATGGCTGTACAGCCTCTCAAGTCAGTCACTTGCATAGAGAGGTCTTGATGTAGAAGCTATTAAACAATGGATTAAATTATAAACAATAAATCAGTAATTATTATAAGATATATTGGCTTATAATAAAATATAAACATAGCATTAAAAAATAAAAAGAAATACCATAATCAGTAAACTAGTGACAGCAGTAAAAAAAATAAGCAACCTGTAAATAGCAAGATATTTAAAACACACAAATAATTTTCTGGTGAAATTTAGGCTGGCAAAGGCTTTTCATATGAACTCATTAAGATAATTGTCACTAAAACATTTATGAAACCCAGGGATTACTGGATGTTCTTGGAGATTTTCCAGTTGGCATGTCCAGCCCTCCTTTTGCCTCCTTGATTTTGTCTTTTGCCATCCATCTTGTCTTGGTGCTTTTTAAAATTCACCTCTAGCTGATGAGGGATTTAGACTACATTGTCATCACTATGTTAATGAGACTCTAGCTGCATCTGAATACCATTTGAATTCAGCTGGTTTATTTAGACTAAACCATGTTAAATTGCATTAACACCTTATTTTGCTTCCAAACCAAATAGTCTTTTTCTTTTCCTTCAAAGCCTATTCATGGTCAATATTTGGTAGGCCATAGATATATTTTAGTATGTTAAAATGGCATGCTTTTTTCTGAATTTAACCCAAACACTTTCATGATATTTTACACATTTTTGGTTCCTAATTTCTTGCAGTATCAAAGTTAAAAAGTACAGAGTATTAAAACATAAGCAAAAATGGTGGACTTCTCTCTCTTTTTTGATGAGAACTTCCTGTTTATTCTTGAATGTGTGAGAAACTCAAGTTTCCATATCGATGATTCTTCAATCAATGAAAATGTGATTGATTTTGTGCTTACACTTTGGCTTTAGGTTTAGAGTATACCATTTGAAAGATCTGACTAAATGTACTTTAGTAATGAATACACAACTCTTTCTATTTCTACCCTAAGAAGAAAAACAACAGCTGCTCTTCAATACATAAAATACAGAAGGCAAAAAATATTAACTACAGCCTCATGAGCTGACATACAGATTAAAGACAAAACCTGAGTTCTGAAATCTCAGCCATTCTGTAATGGCAACTTAGTCAAACCTTATCAGTTGTCTATAAAATAACTCTAACTGCATTTTATTGGAATGGGAAGTGCCACGACAGTGCTTGGTATTAAGCAACCTCAGCTCCCATCATCAGTCCCAGCAAATTTGTCTTATAATAATAATTATTCTAATATCTACATTAACTTCAATGTAAGAAAAGCAGTAGTATATATTAATAGAATTAAAAATATATATCTTGCTGTCTTTATATTAAAAGATCATTTCTTAACGTTTAAAACTCTTAGATGTATAATAAATTCTATGACAAGCTTATTAAAATGATTTTACAAATCTTATGCTACATTACAACTTGCAAAATATTAATGATAGAGAAAAGATATACTCCACAAATGGTGTAACATATCATTTTCAAAACAATAACAACATTGTTTTGTCATTTATTCTTTTGCTGAGTTTAATTTGTTAACTGTGAGATTTAGCACTGATGGAGATACTAGATGAAATGCTATGGAATTAGCTTCAAACTGAAAGATTTCTTGTCAAATATTTGCTCAGTTTCAATCAAATAACGTTAAAAATGTTTAATAGCTTTCTTCTTTGCATGACTTATTTAAATTAAATTCTGCTAAGGCAATATTTATAAAGGAAAATTCTAAACATACTCTTAGAAGTCAACATG